GGCCGGGGCGGGGGTGGGGGGGGGGGGGGGGGGCAGAGAGACACCGATCAACATTCCACAACGCTAACTACCCCAATGGTTATTATGTTTGTGTGAAAACATTCACATTATTTAGCAAAGCTCATTACATTCAGAGCAAGTAAATCACTGGGCTTTTGTATATTTGGATATTTGTTGTGTTGCTCCCAGTGCTACAGTAATACAGATTAATAGAGCAGTATTATGCACCCCGCTGGTGTGTCTTTGGATGAAACTGACAAAGGTGAAAGGGGGCTTTGAAGAGGAAGAGGGTGGGGGCGGAGAGGGTGGGGGCGGCACGCTTACCACCTGGGTGGTGTTGGGGGCCGGCCGCTGCTCAGGGGCCCTACCCTCCTCCCTGGCTTTCACGGACTGCAGAATCGCAAATATGTTCTTGGAGAAGTTCTGAAAACAAAAGAGAGAGACGGCCATCACTCTGGTGTGTGTGTGTGTGTGTGTGTGTGTGTGTGTGTGGACGGGCATTGCTGCCGCACTCCCTGGAGAGGCCAAAACAAAAGGCCAGATGCACATCAGTCAAACCCTAATCATAAATCCGACCCGGAAAAGAGCAGGGTCATGCGCGTGGTCTTCAGAAGGTTACGGTGACAGCACCTGTGAAACATGCCCGTCCCAAATCGATCCCCCGAGATGTGGGTTCCGCCCCCGCCGGCCCACCGCATCTCTTGGCCCCCAGCACCCGCGTGACAATCACCATACGCAACGGCAGATCTCTAATAGGCATCAGACCCAGGCTGGAAGGCGGCACAGACGCGGCACAGACCGAGAACGGACGCCTCAGAGATAAATATAGTCGGCGATACATAAATTTGAGGAGCCGGTGTCTAAAATAATGAGCGCCTCCAGACTGTTTACCGTGGGGAGCCGTGCCCACTTCAACTTATTTTGGTCCCCTGGGGAAGATCAAAGAATATCACTGTAATTACGCCTTCCTTTTCCACAAGATTGCTGTGGTGTGGTAGCAGGTTTTCAGCACCATCTTGGGGATGTCGCAATCACCCACGCCATCTGGCTCGAGATGTCGCTACGATGGCTCGGATCCGGCGAGGGTCCCAGAAAAACACGGCGACCCAGCGTTTCCACTGCACACCGCTCCAACCACATACCTCGTCTTACTTAAATCACAGGGAGTGGACAGTGTAATTGTATTACAATAATCTTTTCTTAACAGCCAGCGTGTCATTCAGTCAGACTCCCAGGCTTTTAAGACTGGTGAGTATCCCCCCCCCCACAGCTGAAGTGGAACCATCGTCTCCTCATAATTGGGAGGCTGACAACTGAATAACTGTATCCACAAAAAGACCAGAGAGAGGGCAGCGTGGGTCACGTCAGTGAAAACTTGTCATCCGCAAATGCCGATTAATGGAGTGACCAACTTTAAACTTAATGTACAATGATGGCAGCAAATTTACTTCCAGGGCAAACCCCCAATAATCCGACTTCATAATAATCTGAACCAAAAAGAAAAATTCTACAAAGTTACAGTAGATTTATAGATTGCTGCAATTTCTAAAATTAACCCTTCCACAAACCTCCTTCTCACAAAAGAACATTCTGGAGTGAAGATTTCTTGCGACTGTACTAAAATTCAGATGATCTAAATATACAATCAACATGTAGGCTTTTCTGAACCATGCAACACCAGAGCAGTCTTCATAAGCCAGAGAATGGCAATGGTGGAACTAGCAAGCAAACACGCAAAGGGAAAACCGTGAGCAGCGGTGCTGTGCGCGACGCGAATGCGACCAGGCACAGGAAATGACAGCATGCATAGCGGTGCTGTGCGCGACGCGAATGCGACCAGGCACAGGAAATGACAGCATGCATAGCGGTGCTGTGCGCGACGCGAATGCGACCAGGCACAGGAAATGACAGCATGCATATCTGGTGGATGAACAACAATGCTTACAGCTGCACCATCATTTACCGGCTGAAGTCAGCGCATAACATTAATCACTCATTTATTTTCTGCCAGTTAAACTGTGCCTAGTTTTAATCAACTAACTATACAGATAAGGGTGCATTAGAAGGCTCTTAACACTATTTAATTGCGAACAATTAAAAGATAAATTTGCAATCAGAAAAAAGGTGCAGCTTTTCTTAGCAGGCAGTTAAAAAGAAAAATCACAGCTGCTGCAGAGCAACTCTGTCCCCTGCTGAACGAATAATGAATTACAATTTATGCCACAAATGTGAACGGAGGTTTGGTATGAGGCTGCCTGCAGAGCCTATTAAATAATGTGAAAAGTTAACCGAAGTCATTTCAAATGCTGAAAAGAAAAATGCAAAGTTTGACAATAACCCAATATCATGTTAAATGCAGTACCCAGAATCCCAAGTAAAAACATCCTGCTTCATCGTACACTTGTGCAAGATGAAATGAAAACTGAACTGACCAACTGACTGGCCAAGTAAAATAATGTACCCACTTCCATTTAAACTTAACCAATTCAGAATGTAAAGCTAAGTTTAGTTAAATTAGCTATTCACACAGTGAAGTTGCTGCTATTGGACCAGTACAGTAAGCCCTTGTGCATTCGCATTTCACAGACCCGCGAAAATTTCAATGGAAGCAAACTTATTTGCATCCGCGATTTTTACGCACATCTGCGAAATCCTCGAAAAACCCTACAGAAGTGTTTATGCTTAATTTTCATAGTAATTTATGTTTTCATGCTTTTGAGTATAAAATTGGTAAAAAAAAATAAATAAATAATGTAGTTAATGAAGATTCTACTGTGTTTTTGGGGAAAGTTTCAAGACATACAATATAAATCAGTTACAAAATCCCTTAAAAAAACGTGGCTTTCTTATGGAAGCCTTCCTTTTTATGTACATACTGTAGTGTACCTTTACAAGATGTGAATCCAATTCGCAAAGTTTATTCCCTTTGGAACGCTAATGGTTACATAAATTATTAGAAAATAGTTAATTTAGTATTTTGTAATGGTAAGTACACGTTTACGTAAGTTCAAACCCAAACCCTCCCACGAACCCCCAGCTGAAGATGTACGCTATGCAGTCATTTTCACATGTTCACCGTACATGTTCACTGTACGTACAGTACATGTTTCCTTTACGTATTTTATTAAATTGTACCTTGGTTACATATATGACTTCTGTCAATAAGTTTACAGTCCCGTTTGTTTACTCATTTTAGCTTACTGTGAATGCAAAAGAATGCCGTGTTCTATGAATGATTAGGGGTAACATTAGTATACTGTACTGTAAATGTGTTAGTGTGACAAATATCCGTTAGGCGATATTGTACTCTAGATCAAACATTTGTTTTTAAAAGTAATGTATTAAGCTAACTTTTAAATAAAAATTAAAGTGTTTTGGGAGCATATTTAGGGTATAAACTATAGAAATAAGCACATATTACCATTTTTAGTGACTCTACCAAACATCTGCGAATCCTCCTCATTCGCGACGGGTTCTGGAACCTAACCTAGCGAATGTCCGAGGGCTTACTGTACTAAGAAGGCTTTGTCGAGAAAGCTTGATACACTTAACTGTGTGTG